TATGGTTTTTGAGACAAGTCAAGTTCCAAAACAGACTAGTTTCAGGAAATTCAGGTTCCTTGGTTGGTTTTTGGCTCTGGCTTTGGGATATATGTTGGTTTCAGCGACATTTTCTCCACAAACCGGACTTCTTACAGGATCGCCTTTCTACGAGTTCCATATGCCAAGAGAAATCACAGAGTTTGCAAAAGCTAACAACTTGGAGAAGTTGAGTGAAAAGCTGTGGACTTTGACAGAATCATCACTTGTGTACATGGATAAGCTGATCTCGCGTCTTGGAGGAAGAGAAGAGGAATATGGTCCATTTCAATTTCATAACTTGACATATACTGTGGAAGATAATACTGTTTTCCAGCCAACAAGCATTGTGATCAGTGTAGTAGAGTTGGGCCATCAGGAACCTGAAGAACTATTACAAGAGAAAAGCCGAGGTGAAAACAATCTTGAGGATGACTATGTCAATGAATTTGAGGAGGAGAGTGGAGGAGAGGAAAACTCAGAAGTGGTTTGTGAAACAAAAGATGGTGATGCAGAAACTAATGAATTTGATGATCAGACTGAGATGAAACCGGAAACTCTTTTAGACGATGGCGTAAAGCAGAACATTGAAGAAGAGAGAGAGTGTGAGTTGAATCCTGAAGAAAACAATGATGCGGGAGGTCTTGAATCTCAGGAAATGCTTGAAACTGGATCATCAAAAATGGACCAGAAAGAGTTAAAAGAAGCTGAATCTGAAGCCAGCTACATAAGCCAGGATGTTGTTGAATCCGATGCTTCCATCAATGTGCAACAGCAAAAAGAGAGTGAGGTAGCTGATGCTGAAACTGAATCAGAAGAAATTTTTGAGGAAATTGCATCAGAAACTAATGGTGATCTTCGTGCTAAAGTAAGCTCTTCTAACAAGGGGATCATAGTATTGTCCTCGACTGTGCTGGTTCTACTCTCAGCGGTTGCTTTCTTATTCGCTAACAAGGCAAAACCTGTTGTTGCATCTGCTCCTGGACCAGCCCCTGAGACCACCGAGAAGCTAAACTTGGTAGGTGATGTGCCAGTAGAGAATCTGACGAAAGAAAAGCTTTCTTCACTGCATTTCCAAGAAGAAGAAGTTGAAGACAGACTAAGTAACAGTTTCCATAAGAAGAGCTCATCATCCCAAAGCAAAACTGGAGGAGGCAAGAAGAGGAGAGAATCCATGGCTTCCTCAGCATCAGAATACTCCTTTTCGTATGGAAGTTTCACAACTTACGAGAAAATACCAATCAAAAGTGTAAGTAAAATCAATTAACCAATCAAGTCCATTGCTAGAGTTTTGCCTCGTCTTAACACAAACCCATATTTATATCTACAGGGTGATAGAGAAGAAGTGATGACTACACCAGTGAGACGTTCAAGCCGTATTAGGAACAACCAACCTGGTCTATGAGAAGCAAAGAGAGACTTTCCATTGCACCACTCTGCAATATGCAATCTCGTGAATTTGTACCAAGTTTGATTCAATTGAAACTTGAATTTTCGACTATTTCTTAGTGTTAATCTCCTTCATTACCAAAGCAATCGTTGACTGTGGAAGAACAAAAAGCATCGACATTTATTTTATGTTTTTACATATGAAAACCAAATAAACAACGACCAAATTCAGAGCCAAAAGTGACAAAAACAGAGACACAAGACTTAGTTCCTCCAGCTTCCTCCGTCAGATCGGCCACTGTAT